GCCTGATCCAACACTGGCTTCTCTTATGCTCTTGTGTTCTCTAAAAGTCATTACAGGTATCATGAATTCTACAGCTCGACTGGAGTCCAGGTGAACCTTAGAAACCAACAAGATTTTTGCAGTATACACTTTTAAAAGAGTCAAAGTTCCCTGGCACTAAAAAGCTCATATACCGAAATTCTTGTTGGTATCTTAGATGCTACTGGATTTGAACCTAGCTGTTCTACCACAGACCAACACAGGTACCCTCTGGAGACAATCGATTTTGTAAGCCTTCCGTTATTCAAGTTCACTGTTGTCCAAATGGTAGGAGAGAGAAAAGTGACTGGGAAAGGCGGTCCCCAAACAGCAATCTCCAGAGCTAAGTAAGAACATAAGAACATAAAAGAAGCCATGTTAGATCAGGCCAATGGCCCATCCAGTCCAACACTCTGTGTCACACAGTGACCAAAAATACCAGGGGCCATCAGGAGGTCCACCGATGGGGCCAGGACACCAGAAGCCCTTCCACTGTTGCCCCCCACCAAGCACCAAGAATACAGAACATCCCTTGCCCCAGACCTAAGAACATAGAGAAGCCATGCTGGATCAGACCAATGGCCAATCCAGCCCAACACCCTGTGTCACACAGTGGCCAAAACCCAGGGGCTGTCAGGAGGTCCACCGGCAGGGCCAGAACTCCAGAAGCCCTCCCACTGTTGTCCCCCTAAACACCAAGAATACCTAGCATCACCGTCTCAGACCTAAGAACATAAGAGAAGTCATGCTGGATCAGACCAATGGCCCATCCAGCCCAACACTCTGTGTCACACAGTGGCCAAAACCGAAGTGCCACCAGGAGGTCGAGCAGTGAGGACAGAACTCCAGAAGCTTAGGGGGGCTTCTGGAGTTCTGTTCTCACTGCTGGACCTCCTGGTGGCACTTGGGTTAGCCCCAAGGTGTAGATGGAACACTCTGTCTGGGGCATCACTTGCCCCAGAGTCCCTATCTATACCTTGTGGCTAATAGCCACTGATGGACCTCTGCTCCATATGCCTATCTAATTCCCTCTTGAAGCCGTCCATGCTTGTAGCTGCCACCACCTCCTGTGGCAGTGAATTCCACGAGTTCATTACTCTTTGGGTGTAGAGGTACTTCCTTTTATCTGTTCTAACCCTACTGCTCATCAATTTCATTGAGTGCCCTCCAGTTCTTGTATTGTGAGAACCAAGTGCAGAACAAAGAATCTTGCGTCACCCTGAAAGCTAACGAGATTATTCTGGCATAATTACACCAGCCGAAAGGGGCCGGAAGGCTCTAGCCTATAAAAGCAAAAGCATCTGTGCACCTTCAGAGCACTATTTCCCTACCTGTAGGCTCCTACCCAAAAGTGAGACATAAAGCCCGTAAAAAGTGGGTCCAGGGCTGACTTGTGCGTGCCCTTCTTTTTTTTCCAAGTGGGTCACCATAACAAGTAACTTGAGGGTCACCATACCAAAAAGATCTCGGGGAGGGAAAGAAAGGCATGGAAAACATGTCCCCCCCCCCTTTCCCTCCGCTCCCCGAGATTCTCCGCAAAAGCGGAGAGGCTCAGGGAAGGAAAGGGGCATGTAAGAACATAAGAACGTAAGAGACGCCAATGTTGGATCAAGCCAAAGGCCCATCCAGTCCAACACTCTGTATCACACAGTGGCCAGAAATACCAGGTGCCATCAGGAGGTCCACCCGTGGGGCCAGGACATTAGAAGCCCTCCCACTGTTCTCCCCACCCCCAAGCACCAAGAAGACAGAGCATCACTTGCCCCAGAGTCCCTATCTATACCTTGTGGCTAATAGCCACTGATGGACCTCTGCTCCATATGCCTATCTAATTCCCTCTTGAAGCCGTCCATGCTTGTAGCCGCCGCCACTTCCTGTGGCAGTGAGTTCCATGTGTTAATCACTCTTTGGGTGAAGAAGGACTTCCTCTTATCCGTTCTAACCCGACCGCTCAGCAGTTTCATGGAGTGCCCACGAGTTCTTGTGTTGTGAGAAAGGGAGAAAAGTACCTCTTTCTCTACCTGCTCTTTCCCACGCATAATCTTCTAAACCTCGATCATGTCACCCCTCAGTTATCGTTTCTCCAAGCTAAAGAGCCCCAAGCGCCTTAACCTTTCCTCATAGGGAAAGTCTCCCAACCCTTTCCAACCTTCTGCCCTGCCCTTCCCTAGTCAACCCACTGTGATGGGCTGCCTGGGGAAGCAAAGTGCAGAGAGCTCATGAGACCGGCCTAGCCTGGGCCATCTGGGTCAGTACCCCGCCAAATATCCTTTTTTTTTGTCTGAAAAACTGGGGGGGAAAGGAAAAATGGAGTGGGGGGGGACTTTGTTTCTGATTTTTAAATCCCCCCCCCGGGCCTTCACCATTTCTAATTCAGAATTTGATAGAACAGTCCAATGGCCCCTTTAAGACCAACAGTCCTTCACAGGGACTGATCTCTTTTATCTGGAAATTCAGCTGTGGTTCCAGAAGGATTTTGAGGTCCCACCTGGAGTTTGGCACATGAGAGCCAGTTTGGTGTAGTGGTTAGGAACGCGGACTGTAATCTGGGAGAATCGGGTTTGATTCCCCACTCCTCCACACGCAGCTGCTGGCGTGGCCTTGGGTCAGTCACAAGTTCTCTCTAAACTGTTCTCTCAGGAGCAGTCCTCGATAGAGCTCTCGCCGCCCCACCTACCTCGCAGGGTGTCTGTGGTGGGGAGGGGAAGGGAAAGGAGATTGCAATCCGCTCTGAGACTCCTTCGGGTAGTGAAGGGCGGGGTATAAATCCAATCTCTTCTTCTTATGTAGACCAAATTTGATTCTGGGTATAAGCTTTCGTGAGCATGCACACTTCTCCAGATACATACACATGACAGCTTATACCATAGGATTAAGCTTTCTTGGTCTTAAAGGTGCCACTTTGTTCCATTACTTCACACCAACACGGCTGCCCACCTTCATCTATCAGAATTTGATAAATCGTAAAATTCAGGAAAAATACTGGCAGAAAAGAGCAAGAATCCATAGGTAAAGGTAAAGGTTTCCCTTGCTCAAAAGCCAGTCGAGTCCGGCTCTAGGGTTGCGGTGCTCATCTCCGTTTCAAAGCCGAAGAGCCAGCGCTGTCCGAAGACGTTTCCGTGGTCATGTGGCCGGCATGACTAAACACCGAGGCGCACGGAACGCTGTTAGCTTCCCACCGAAGTGGTACCTGTTTATCTACTTGCAATTTCTTGCTTTCGAACGGCTAGGTTGGCAGGAGCTGGGACCAGAGACGGGAGCTCACTCCGTCATGCGGCACACCCGGGTCTCGAACTGCTGAACTACCGACCTTCCACAGCCTGCAGTTCAGCGTCTTAACCCCTTGAGCCACCGCAGCTCCATCATAAATTTTGTTAGTCTTTAAGGTGTTCCTGGATTCTTGCTCTTTTCTACTGCTACAAGCAGACTAATATGGCTACCCATCTTGATCTGCCTCCATGGAAGGCACCACATTTAGCTGTACCGAACGGGAATCCATCAACCTCGTGATATGAGGAGAGATGGACTCACACTCTCGCTGCATCTGAAGGAGCAGTGACTCACGAAAGCTCATAACCCTGCCACAGATTTTGTTAGTCTTGAAGGTGCTTCCTGGACTCTTGCTCTTTTCTCCTGCTACAGACAGACTATCACGGCGACCCATCTTGATCTATCTAATGGCAGTTAGATAGCCAAGTTCAGTTCTCCAAAGCAAAAGCAAATAACACAATCCCACCTAGATTTACTAACTTCCCAGATCAATCCTCTGCTGAACTAGTCACAGTAGAACATGCGGTTTGCTAGAGGCACTGTCAACTACCCAATCTAAGTTTGAAGCGGCATACTTTTACTTTGGAGCTGCGGTGGCTCAAGTGGTTAAGACGCTGAACTGCAGGCTGTGGAAGGTCAGTAGTTCAGCAGTTCGAGACCCAGGTGCCGCATGACGGAGTGAGCTCCCGTCTCTAGTTCCAGCTCCTGCCAACCTAGCAGTTCGAAAGCAAGACATTGCAAGTAGATAAATAGGTACCACTTCAGTGGGAAGGTAACAGCGTTCTGTGCGCCTTGGTGTTTAGTCATGCCGGCCACATGACCACGGAAACATCTTCGGACAGCGCTGGCTCTTCGGCTTTGAAACGGAGATGAGCACCGCAACCCTAGAGTCGGACTCAACTGGCTTTCGAGCAAGGGAACCTTTACCTTTACCTTTACTTTTACTTTACCTGCTGGCCCAAATATTTGAGTCCGTCCAGGTTGACTTTCCACTCTATCAGCAGCTGGTAGGCGTCTTTCTTCCCGCCCCATATCCTCACCACGAAGCAGGACACAGAGGTATCGAGGCGATCGGGCATGAGGCCGAAGTCGAGGCTCCGCCATGTTGGATTCTGTGGAGGCGAAAGAAGAGGCACTCCTCAGCAGAATGTAACAGGCAGGATTGCTCCACCTAAACTCGCAGGAAGTTACTTGACACAAAGTTAGATTATTGCTCTGGCTAACCCAACTGGAAACAGTTGGTTAAGCTGGGGGCAACTGCTGTGAGCCAAATGCTGAAACACCAAAACAATTTACTACTGAGGAAGCTGATGCAAACAAAACCCCATGGGGGGAGGGGGGATAGATTGCATTTATCGTATTTACTGGGGAGGGGTTGTGGCGCAGTGGTAGAGCATCTGCTTGGCATGCAGAAGGTCCCAGGTTCAATCCCTGGCATCTCCGGTTAAAAGGACCAAACAGTAGTAAAAGACCTCAGCCTGAGATCATGGAGAGACATACACAGGGGCTGTGGCTCGGTGGAAGAGCATCTGCTTGGCATTCAGAAGGTTACAGGTTCAATCCCCGGCATCTCCGGTTAAAAGGACTAAACAGTAGTAAAAGACCTCAGCCTGAGATCATGGAGAGACATACACGGGGGCTGTGGCTCGGTGGAAGAGCATCTGCTTGGCATGCAGAAGGTTACAGGTTCAATCCCCAGGACCTCCACTTAAAAGGAGGCGACAGTAGGTGATGTGGAAGACCTCAGTCTGAGACCTTGGAGAGCTGCTTCCAGTCTGGGCAGACAGTATTGACAGAATCCACGTGCAAAAGAACCTCCTCAGGAAACAATCCATATAGTCCATCTTTCTATGTTATGCCTCTGAGTATGCCGGTCACAGCTACTGG